ACTTTTTTTAAAAATTTTTAATTACATAGGCTACTTTCTAGTATAATACTACTAGAAATTGAGTTCCAAAGGGTTATCAGAAATCCCGATCAAACCTTTTTTTTTCCCCACTTAAGTATAATATTCCGAATGTTTAAAGTAAGTTGATAATTGAATTTAATATAGCATAACATCCTCATCTCACCGAAAAAGTAGGGGAAAGAAAGGAGCGTTAGAAAAAAAAAAAAAGAAAAGGGAAGGAGGTTAAGGTTAAAAAGGTAAAACTAAGGGTTTTTATCTTTCTCACTCAGATTTAGGTCTAACCTAATCGCAACAAATGATTAAAATTTTCCTGAGACGGTACACAATCATTGATTCCAAAAGATGCAATTTAACCAGACCCCCTTAAATATAATACTACATGATCCTACGCTCCGACTTTCCTTTTCCTTTCCAGGTTGGCCTTGTTTGGATTGGCCTTGTTTCCGTCGGAAAATATTATCATTTTTCGTGATCACATTTCTCTATTACCTTTTTCCCTCACATATATCAAATCGCTACAGTAATTTTTCCATGAAAAATGAGGAAAAATGCAATCCAAACACATTATTATTGTGCAAAATTTTTTTCTTTTTTAAAAAAGGAAGAAGTAAAAAAAAAAAAAAACCTCTCGAGACCAAAAAGATGAAGAATGTCTTGTTTCGTAATTAATAAAAGCATTAATTTGAAAGTATTTTATTTAATAGGACTTTTTTTTGGGTACCAAGCAAAAGGATTTCTAGATTTAACTCCATACTTTTTTTTTTTTGTTTATTATATAGTCCAAAACTAATATTTGTGATTTACAGAATCAAATAGAAATCGGTACATATCAAAATATTTTGGCATCAACTTCATGCTTTATTTGTCTATATACTTACTTAGTAAAAGAAAAAAAAAGATTTTTTTTCCAGAGAACGTCTCAATGTACTTACAATATACATCCTTATTTTCACATTAACTTTTTATCTTAGCTTTTGAGGCCCGTCAAAATCTATATTTTCTAAAGATATAAAATTGTTATCACAAATTTAAAAACTTTTTTTCCTTATACTACTAAAAGAAATACTCAACCTTACGGAATGTTTATGGAATTTCTCACCCAACTTTATTAAGCATTTCGTGTTAGACGATTTTTGGTAATTTAGTTAATAATAGTAATTTATTTTTTATGAAAAGGAAATACATAGTAGCATACATAATTTCAGAAAAAAAGAGGTAAAAAAATCAAATTTAAACAAAAAGCGTACTACTAACTAGTAAAAATTAGGAGTAATTTTAGCGGATCCCGGCGTAAACAGAGACCGACCAGAGATAACGTGCGCGCCGGAAGGATTCTGGCAGCAGCGTTGCGTTACTGCCACTTGACAAAGATTGATTGATAAAGGCGTCAAAATTAAGGTCCACTAATGCTATCATGCGCGCATTCACTTTTTTTTAAGAACTTTGGTCTGGAATTAAGAAACCGCAGTCCAGACTCCTGCAACTCATTTTCAATGCTCCTGGTCCCTCCTTCCTCCCTCACTCACTCACTCACTATGGTGTATGGTGACTATGGTCTATGCCTTTTTTTTTTTTTTCCTTCTTCTTTTTTTGTTTTTGGGGGGATGGGGGGAAGTGGGCTGAGAGGTTCTTTTTCACATTTGCCCTCGTTTAAATTCTCCATACTGCCCTTGCCAAATACCACCATTTTCATTTTCATGAAATTGTTGTTGACTTGGACTCAAAAAATTATTACTCGTATACATTTAGGAATTGAGAGTATGATGACAAGGGTGTGTTTGTACAGTTGTGGTGGTCCTTGATCAAATTATTAAAAATTGTTTTTTGTTGTAGAATGCGTTTGATTTTGTGACAGAATCTTCTTCATATCTGAAAGTGTTATTTTTGCCGGCGTTTGGGTAGTTAAGTCCCTGGGAGCAATTCAAGAGTTGCCGGCTTTTGAGTTGACTTCTGGGATTAGGTTTAATTAGTCAAATTTCGTTTCTCGAAAGAAGAATGTGTTATTTTTGCATGCTATTCAATTTTACCTCGACAAGTAATGAAGCCAAGAGCCCCATGAAATTTGGGTTAATCTTCATCGCATTCTAGATCAATAATATAAATTAATGATGGAAAAAAGGAGAGATTATTGTTGAAGAAGATTGATGGCGTTGGTTGACATTCTTGAACATGACTCAGACTTAACAATGATAAAAGTAAAAAGCCAGCAATTGTACCAGATGATCAGCAGCCAATCACAGTCGGACTATCTGTGCAAAATTCTTTGAAGATTGAAATCAATGGCAAGATGTATTAAACTCTGGTCTCTTACCTAAATCATCAGTGATTAGTCACGTCAGTTGAAAAAAAAGCAAAGATACGACGAGGGATTGGTAATCTGCCATTAAATTCTTTCTTACAATTAATCATTCCATTCCTAACTAACTGGAGATCACCACAGCAGCGTCTCCAACATGTTCCTGTTTCCAAGCTTGTTGCTGGGAATGGTGATCCTCATTCGGACAACATATCATGTGGATTTGGCGAATTTTTTTAGGTGCTAACGTCTTATATTATTGTGCCCACATCGTTCTGATTTTGATGAAATGCGATTCATGTACGTGACACAACTAATTACTTGATTTATCACAAACAATAAATAAAAGTGACTCAAATAAAGAGTTTTTTTTTTTTCATACTGATTACAAGATTTAAACAATGGGGCTGTGTTTTATGATATTTTCTTCCCAAGTTGTTGGTTTTTGCATTAAGTGATTAGTACTAAATGTACCCTTGTTTTATGAAATAGTCAGTTTTTTTTTTTATTGTTTGAGTGGATTGAGTGTTTATCCTCAAATTAAAAGGCAACGGGACTCACGTCACAGCGCTTAAGATTCAACTTAATTGAGAGGGATATTTTAATTAGGTGATCGAGAAATTCTTGGTGTGACTTTCGTACAGTTTTTTTTCCCCTTTTCTTTAGAGCCATCCCCAAATTGAAAAAAAAAAAAGCATTATAAAATAGTACTACTATTTATGCAGTTGAAAAAGCGGAAAAGATGAAAGTTGAGAAATTTATTTTAATTAACGGAATGTTTCGTTGAAGAGAGCTCTGATCAATGATGTATTGCAAGTTAGACAGTTAACCAAATAGATTCACGAGAAGTAAGGAAACATGTCAGCAAAAGCAAGACCAGGTAAGTCCATGGGATTCGCAATCGAAATAAAGGTCATTTCGATTTTTAAAGGAAAATTGTTACATTTTTCGTGTCATATTTTTTAATTATTTTTTATCTCATATATATCAAATCGTTATAGTCATTTTTTGCAAAAAGTTCAAAAAAATACAATTTTGTATAGAAAATTATTTAAGAAAATATTTAACGTATTTTTATTGTAACACTTTTTTTATAATGTTATGCATATGAAATAAAAAAAATGTGTTTGAGACGTAAATAAAACAAATTTTCAAATAACAAATATACGGACGCTCGCTCGCTGGCGCGCGCACAAACATACAATGCAAAAATTTGACTTGACTCGTGAAATTCCTTTGAAAGCATAGCGGTTAAAAAAATTGGAGCTTTTATAGATGCGGGGAGGCTCTGTCGAATTGCACAGGCACAGTAGCCGTTCAATGGAGCCGGGGAGGGGACAGATTGAGCTTTAAGCAGCTTTTAGAGGGAGGGAGGGAAAGTTTCTTGGGCATCGCTGCGGCCTGCCCTGCACAAGTACTATCGGCGCTGCAGGGCAGGGCAGTACTCCAAATATTCCGGCTAAAGTACCCAGCCCCTCCCCATTCTTCTGTTGAATAAAAATGACAAATCGGCGTGTGAAAAGGAGCAGAAGTGGGGAGAACAAAATTTACTCCTCCAACAGAACAAAGTCCCTTCTCACTAGTCACACCACGCTTCAGACTTCAGACCCTGTGACATGATACATCAAGATTAAGATTTAACCTTTGTTGCCTTGAGTTCAGTTGGGTTGGGTTACAGCCAAGATTCCACATCTAACTACTTTGTCTTAGCATATACTACCATCCCCAACTTTTGCCCGAAGAGAAAAGGGAAAGCAGAAGAAAAAAGAAAACATCTCTTTGGAAGCAAGAGTTGCGTTTCAAGACTTAGTTTGGTTTGGTTAGCTCTTGCTTTCTTAAGCAAAAATCTGGATCCCAAAACATCCAATATGCACTTAAAAGTGAAAATAGCTTGGTGCTTTTATGTGTATCTTTTATTTTCATGGATTTTCATCTCTGCCTTTATTAAATGTCTTACAACAAATCTGGTAAAGAAAATCATTAACTCGTAATAACTTCAAATAAAATTTCATCTTTATTTGTCTTATCATTTTCTTTCTTTTGATTTGTGCATACATAAGGTGTGTCTTCCCCAAGTGTTGAACCAGAGTTGTCAACACGGTGAGAAAAACATGTATTTGTTCTTTTCTGAGGAAGAAAAACACATGTTTCACCAACTGCGTTTAGCTCTTGCTTTCTTTGGCAAAAAATTTTTGAAGTCTCCAAAAGGGATGGGATAATCCCAAAATTTCCAAACAAAATCAGAAAATTAAAAGAAAAAGGTGAGCCTTTTCTGTCAAAATGACAAAACTTTAGTACTAGTAGATGATTCAGATTCAGAGCACAAAACCTAAAAATGCTCAGTCAGAAAGAGAGAGAGACAGAGAGAGAGAGAGGCCTGATCGATCCTGATGGCTGGCTGGACCAAAGGGCAGAGTCAGGTACAGAAACAGCCAATTGGGGTTTGCAGAAGATTTTGTTACTGTGATTTGACTAAAGCATTAAACAGAGTAATCCACAATAATTAAGAAAAGGGCAAAAAAAAAAAAAGGGTCAATAGTTTGAGGGGCTAATGAAGACAACAGGGGTACTGGGTGGTATGGTAAGTAAATGCGTTCCTTACAACTTTTTCACAAATCCAAACAAACAGATACTACATCCAGACACCACAGGAGGGTATAAAACAGGGTACACAAAACAGTAAAAGATTAGGACAGAGATAAAAAGAAAATCCTGAGCAGAAGCAGCACTATATCAGCAATAGCAATAGTCCTGCTAGCGGCAGCAGCAGCCCCAGCATAAAACACTCCTGCTATTTTCGATTTGCGAGCAAAAATCAAAGGCCTCAATAAACTCTTTTTTCTCTTTCTTTCTTTTTCTTTCTCTTTCTTTACCCACCCACCACTGTCTCTTTAGCCCTCATTCGCTCAGCTCATCAGACCAGTCACTTTCTTTCCTTGTTGAAAATAATAAGCTTCTATTCCCCACTAAAGTTTGAATCTTTTTTGCTTAAACACTTCATTTGTCTTCAATGTTCGGTTGATGTTTTATCTGGGTTTTTCTTTCTTTGAAAAATCGGCTTCACGGGTTCTTCTCTAATGTCTAAAGGGTAAGGTCTCTTATTATTCTTTCTTTTTCTTGACAAGGGAAAGGAGAAAGACCGGTGGAAGTTACAGAGTCCCCTTGCATTGTTGTCTTTTTCTTTTTTTAATTTTGGCGCTTCTAGAAGGAATGAAAGAGATGACATTTTTCTCTTCAGTTACTGTGACAGATTTCCAGCTGTCAATCTTGGCATAAAGCTTCGTCAGTTTGTCTGCTTTGAACCCTCAAGGCCTTCTCGTTTTGGGTAAATTTTTCTTGGAGGTGAAAGTTGCTTATTTTTTGGCTTCCTGAGCTTAACTCGTCCTCGCATTAGCGAACCATGACTTGGGTTTTCACTTTTAACTCTCCTTAAAGCAGAGGTTTACAGGACTGGTTTTATTTCTGTGGTTGAAAACTTGTGGACTAATACTGATGGAAATTTGTTGGGTTCTGCTTTTCAGGCTTTGGTTGTCTGTAATTTGGAGTTTTTCTGTCTGAGATTGGAGCTTTGGCGTGAACAAGGGTGAGAACTAAGAAGAGGTTACAACTTACAACAGAAAGAGGGAAAAAAAAAAAAAAGTAAGACGTGTAGGAGGTTTCATGTGAAAAGCAAGATAAACCGAAGGGATTGGTTTTTGTCAGTATGTGTGTGATCTGCAATAACCCATAGCTTTGGTTAAGCTATTTTGGCTCTACATCAAATTTGAAGGTTGAGTCTTGAAGATTATTAGGGTCCTTTCACAGTCTAAGACACCTAGGACAAAGGAATCTTGTGGTTACCCAAGATCATCGTCAGTTTCATGTTTTCTGATATCACTAGAGAACAAGTCTGGGGAGAAAACAAGGGGAAAAAGGGGCCTTTGCTTCAGAAACTGTTGGTACATATTGTGGTGCTGCTGAATTCTCAGAGTTTCTATAATTCCGTGGAATTGTACATTGTGAAGTATTGAGTTTGCGGGGTGGAAGGAAAAAATGGCTATGGTGGCACAGCAGCACAGGGAGAGTAGCAGTGGGAGTATTAGCAAGCAGAATAGTAGTATTGATTCTGGAAAGTATGTAAGGTACACTGCTGAGCAAGTTGAGGCTTTGGAGAGGGTTTATACTGAGTGTCCTAAGCCCAGCTCGTTACGTAGGCAGCAGTTGATTCGGGAATGTCCGATTCTGTCAAACATTGAACCTAAGCAAATCAAAGTCTGGTTTCAGAATCGCAGGTATGAAAGAGTTTTTATGCTGTTTGTCATACAAGGCGGCCTGCTTCTGTTCCTTTTTTCCCCCACCTTCATTTTGGATCGTTCATTTCTAGTTATGCATTTCTTGCATTCTCGCAATTTTGTTACTCAGAATGGAGTCTGTATTAATTCCGATTAAGTTAGCTGCTGCTTATTATACGCCAAATCTATTTGAATTTGAACATACAACACTAATTTGAGGTTTTAATAATTAGTACCCTGAAGGTAGTTTGTCTGTGGAGGTTAATTAGATATATTTGAATTTGAATTGATCTAAAACATACTTGATTGAGTTGTGCTTGTTCTAGATCAAGTATTACCATGGATGCTAAAATAAGACGGTTACTTTCTGACGCAGGTGTCGAGAGAAGCAGCGAAAAGAGTCTTCTCGGCTCCAAACTGTAAATAGAAAGTTGACTGCAATGAACAAACTATTGATGGAAGAGAATGATCGCCTGCAGAAGCAGGTCTCACAGCTGGTCTGTGAGAATGGGTATATGAGGCAGCAGTTGCAAACTGTATGTTGGAAACTTAGCTTGTTTCATTGCCCACATTAACACTCATCTTTAATGTTTTTAAGTTAGATGCAAGCAGCAAAGCGTGATGGATTAATCTACCTAGCATCTGCATTTATCTGCCATAGATTATGATTCTAAGGCTCACCAGTTCAGGTCCTTCATAGAGACCTAGCTGTTCTTGGCACATTCTGAACAAAAAATCTCTTCATTGTAATATTAACACAAAAAAAACCCCCTAAAAGTATACATTCAAACAGAAAGATAGGGACTTTGAGCATTGGGATTTTGATTTTTTCTTTGTTCTCCTGTGCTTTAGTTGGATTTTCATCACTGATTTGGTTTATTTTCTTTGCTTTACGTGCATGTAGGTTCCCCGCCCTCTCTACTGGTTCCATCACATAAATGATTATCACCATTACATACACATGCAACTTCTCCCATTTATAAAGATGACGTTGATCTTCGAGGCTATTTGAGAAATTCGTCATCCTGCTAAAAAATTTCTTGACTCTATTTCTGTAGGCATCTGCTGCTACTACCACTGATGCAAGTTGTGAATCGGTAGTAACCACTCCTCGGCATTCTCTAAGAGATGCTAACAACCCTGCAGGGTAATTATTTATTCTATTATTAGCCATTCTCTCTTTCTCCTTTTGTGTGCACACGAGCACAAGCTGTAAGTTATGTAAATTATGAGTGAAAGAATGGTTGGTAGTTAGCACTGTTTCTTTTGGTTTTTGGCAGACTATTGTCGATTGCAGAGGAGACCTTGACAGAGTTCCTTTCAAAGGCTACAGGAACTGCTGTTGATTGGGTGCAGATGCCTGGGATGAAGGTACGAGTTTCTGAATCTCATTGCTCAATCAGTTTCTTAATTTATTTCCACTTGTAAATTATGATGCTATCCATCCATCCATCTGCCTCTCCAACAATTGACACTATTTCTGCCAATGTTAAAAATTTTATTGTCAGCCTGGTCCGGATTCGGTTGGGATCTTTGCCATTTCACATAGTTGCAGTGGAGTGGCAGCTCGAGCCTGTGGTCTTGTTAGTTTGGAACCAACAAAGGTAAGGCTTAGTTGTGGAAATTGCTGTGTTGGCCTTTTACGTCATGTGACTTCTTTTTAACAGCTTTTGCTTAATATGACTTCTTATATTGCTGATGATCAAATGCCTGCCTTTATTCTCTGAACTTTGACAGATTGCAGAGATCCTTAAAGACCGCCCATCTTGGTTCCGGGACTGTCGGAGCCTTGAAGTCTTCACTATGTTTCCTGCTGGAAATGGAGGGACAATTGAACTTGTGTATACTCAGGTTATTTACCTTGAAGTCACATTCTGTCGTGTCTTTGGGCAGACTGTCAAATAAGAGAAGCTAATGAATCTAAACTTGCTTGCAGATATATGCTCCGACTACATTGGCTCCTGCACGTGATTTCTGGACTCTGAGATACACAACCACCTTAGAGAATGGTAGTCTTGTGGTATGGATATTTCTGGACATTTTTGTTCAAATAGAACTCAAAGATCTTCTAGTTCTCGGCATCATACTGGCTGATTGCTAAGCAAGATTGGAAGCTTAGGGATACAGGATCTAGTCTTGTGTGACTTTGAAACAATGAGTTGACATTCATGGATCTGTGATGGTAATCTAAATGAAAGGGAAATGGGTCTATGACGTAGGGGCAATTATCAGTGTTTATTTACTATAATGAAGTATTTCTGATGTTTCCCCTTAGTAATACAGTTTTTCAACTAATTTATGAATCCTTCCTCTTAATTGTTCCTTTGTTGCATAGGTCGCTTTGCCTGCTAAAAATCTAATGAACAAATATCTTGTAAAGGGTTTTACCTCTCTTTCAACATAAATATAATTATGATACTTCTCATCCTAAAATGGTTCTTGCATTCTTAGAAATCTATCTGGATCTTGTTTATTCAGCTTTACTACCACTAAAAGTAATTTTTACCTTTTGAACTTTGAGTGTCTGCATATAGAAGGATGCTGATAGAAACAAAGTGGATCAAACAAGCATTTTCACTGTTTTTTTTTTTTAATTTCTTCAAGGTTTGTGAACGATCTCTGTCCGGTACTGGGGCTGGTCCAAATGCAGCTGCAGCTTCTCAATTCACAAGAGCTGAAATGCTTCCATCTGGTTATTTGATAAGGCCATGCGACGGTGGAGGATCAATCATCCACATCGTTGATCATTTAAACTTAGAGGTTAGTTTATACCTACACTGGTCTATCATGCATTTATTGGCCCACCCAGGCAAAATCTCAAAATACACAACTGTCCAGGCATGGAGTGTGCCAGAGGTGCTGCGACCACTTTATGAATCGTCAAAAGTTGTGGCGCAGAAAATGACCATTGCGGTGAGTCAAGTGCTGTTTTGATCTTAAATCCTTGTACAAGTTTTTTGTTCACCGCAATGCAACTTTTATGAACAAATTTGTCTATTGAGTTTATGAGTTTTTAGTACAGGTTTGATTTAAAGCAACCACTGTTAAATGCTTCGATACAGAACGAAGAAAAAAAATTGTGTTAGACAATTGTTTTGGACAACTCTAACTTTGGAAATTTAAAGCAACCACTATTAAATGCTTTTGATTTAAAGCGACCACTATTAAATGCTTGAGCAAGCACAACGCTTAACTTCGATAAAGGTTTGTTTTAGACAAACCTAAGTTTAGACAATTGATTTAAAGCAACCACTATTAAATGATTTGATTTAAAGCAATCACACTATTAAATGCTTTGGGCACTGGTTTAAATGTTTTCCCAATCTCAGAAAAGCAAAAGGACAAGATTCCTAAAATATGAAGGGGGCCAATTACACCAAGGCAGTTTTAGAAATTTTAAACAACTCCTTCAGTAGTTGGCAGTTTTGGATTCTTAAAATTCCTAACACGGTTCAGCTTTTGAGATATTTGCTATCATGACAACAACTTTTATGCTGGAATTGGGGACTTGAACAATTATTTTTACCATGCAGAATGATAGGTTATGCTTAAGAATTTAGGCGACTGGAGGTAGTTGGATTAGAGGACTTAATGAGCTGTATCTGTTCATAAAGCGTCTGGTTGCAGTTTGTCACATTTGAAAGTCTAAACTTCTACCCTGGTGGGTGGACAACTTTTATTTACTTCTTTTTAATGTTTGAAGGCCTTGCGATACGTCAGACAAATAGCTCAGGAGACGAGTGGTGAGGTTGTATATGGCCTGGGCAGGCAACCAGCTGTGCTTAGAACATTTAGCCAGAGATTAAGCAGGTCAAGCTCAAATACCATTAGTATCATTCTGCTGCATTTTGTGATATTCTGTCTTTTCTGTTATGATTTTTGTTTGGTGTTTTCTATGTGCTTTATTGAGGTTTTCAGCGGATGATTTTTTTTCCTCCTGTAGAGGCTTTAATGATGCCATCAATGGATTCAATGATGATGGCTGGTCATTGTTGAGCTGTGATGGCGCTGAAGATGTGATTATTGCAGTTAATTCAACCAAGAGCCTGAGCACCTCATCCAATTCTCTTTCCGTGATTGGAGGCATTCTCTGTGCAAAAGCCTCCATGCTACTCCAGGCAAGCAACTTATCTCACAATTTGTTCTTCATTATTACGTCCTCAGCCAAGCAATCTTGCTTGGTAGTGAAACAAATACGTGAAAACTGATATGATTCCAAGACAAGCACTCTGCAATGCTTTCATGTGGCATCCCAAGAAAAATGCAGACCTCCTTCAAATTGTGAAATAGATACAATAATACAGCATGAGTTAATGCATTTAAGTAAATGACAGAACTATCTGTTATTTCTTACAGAATGTACCTCCTGCCGTGCTGGTTCGCTTCCTAAGGGAACACCGTTCAGAGTGGGCAGATTTTAATATTGATGCCTATTCTGCTGCTTCTTTGAAAGCTGGTTCATATGCATATCCTGGAATGAGGCCAACTAGGTTTACTGGAAGCCAAATTATTATGCCCCTTGGCCACACAATCGAACATGAGGAGGTATATATTAGGTGGTTGTCTCATGTTCTTGTTCTTTGTAATGCACATCATGCATATATCCTCTGCTTTTGTGTATTGGTGCCACTGCAAGTCCCACCGCGGAGTTTGTTGTGTTTTCTGTGTTTTATGTCAAAATTCTGTAGATAGTCAAAGTTTTCATTTTCAATTGATGATCCTCTTCTTCAAAGGGACAAAATAAACTGTTTCCAACTTATCATTTGATGTGAATGGACTGCTTTACTTTGCTGGATAATTTTAATATCTAAGATTACCTGACTTCTACGCTCTCATTCGTTATTGCCTCCCAGATGCTTGAAGTAATACGACTTGAAGGGCACTCTCTTGGGCAAGAAGATGCTTTTATGTCAAGAGACATTCATCTCTTACAGGTTTTTCCTTTATTATCTTGGTCATAATGTAGACTAAATGATGTAAACACCTAGCTCTGAAAAGGGATCCTCTGCAGATGTGCAGCGGAGTTGATGAGAATGCCATTGGAGCCTGCTCTGAACTCGTTTTTGCTCCAATTGATGAAATGTTCCCAGATGATGCCCCACTGCTACCCTCGGGTTTCCGAATCATTCCTTTGGAATCAAAATCAGTTGAGTTCGACATTCTTCGTTTAGAACTTATCGTTTCTTCCTGAAGACTGGTGGATTTAATAATGATCTGAATATTGGCCTGATTGTTGGTTCCAATAACAAGTTGATACTTCTGCTTTTGCTTATGAATAGAACACTGGTAGTATGAGATGCACCATTGTCAATTAAGTGATTTAGCTGAACAATCCAAGTTACGTTTCTTGCAGTCATTTGTTATGTAAAGAATCATTAATAATTGTAGATATGTGGCACTAGATTTTGTGGGCATGTTAGTCCTCTTGGATGTTACTTTAGCATGTGGTTTGAATGGATTGGCATTTTGTATTATGAACTTGTTTTCAAGTTATTTTCGTGGGATGACTAATAAGATTTTTGTACAGGGTGATGCACATGACACATTACCTACAAATAGGACACTGGATCTGACCTCAAGTCTTGAAGTTGGCCCGGCTTCAGCCACCACTGCAGCAGATGCATCCTCATGTTACAATGCGCGTTCAGTATTAACTATTGCCTTCCAGTTTCCCTTTGAAAACAATCTTCAAGAAAATGTTGCGACCATGGCACGCCAGTACCTTCGAAGTGTGATTTCTTCTGTACAGAGGGTTGCCATGGCTATTTCCCCATCAGGAGTAAGCCCCACTGTTGGACCAAAGCTTTCCCCGGGCTCTCCTGAAGCTCTGACACTAGCTCACTGGATCTGTCAGAGTTATAGGTAATGTTTGTCTTGGTCAATCTGATCATCACTTCAATGCTAGTCTGATGATTAGTTAAATGTTCACTAAGAGTGGTATTGCCTGGAATATTTCTGGAGCAAAATCCTTTTACTTCTTGCATCTGAGCGAAAAGAAAGTCGGGAAGTTAAAAGAAGTAACAATCCTGCTTCTCATGTGTTGTTTGTTTTATCAATTCTCAGTTACCATATGGGGGCAGAATTGCTGAGAGCTGATCCTTTAAATGGTGATACAGTATTAAAGAATCTCTGGCTTCATCAAGATGCCATTTTGTGCTGCTCACTGAAGGTATAGTACACGAAATATGTGTTAGTAAATGCTGCTGCTTTTATTTGGTTGCTTTTTGTCTTCCATCCCATTCCCTGTACTTCACCTTCAAGTTAGCGAACTGTTCACTTGAGGCTTGATAGGTGCTCGCTTTCCAGAGCTCGACTTAACTCCATTTTATTTATTTATTATTATTATGATTTATTTATTTGGTCTCACTGGCAATATACTGGCTAAATTATTTTGGACTTTCTTTGTGCTGCAGTCACTGCCAGTTTTCATATTTGCAAATCAAGCTGGACTTGACATGCTGGAGACGACCCTGGTGGCTCTACAAGATGTCACCTTAGATAAGATTTTTGACGACACAGGGCGCAAGGCACTCTTTGCTGAATTTGCAAAGATCATGCAACAGGTATCCTGGATGTTCCTAGAAGCTTATTTGTTAATAATCTCAAAAAACGTGCAATTCTGGTGGCTTAAAATTTATAAAAAAAAAAAAAAAAAATCTGTCCTGTAAAATCGCATTCAAGTTTGAGCATACAATGTTGCAGCTTAGTTCACCAAGGCTGAGCATACAATGCTGCTAATTTATTCCATGTCTATTCGCAATGGGATTATTCCAAATTTCAATTGAAATAATAAAATTCTTTCCATATGCATATTCATGAATGCCATGAAACTCATTTTATTGCATGTCCGTGTCTCTACCAATATAATAATGGGTGTTGTTTTCTTGGAAGTTCCTTGCGTGCTTGTTAATCCTGTACTTTGCCTAATATATATATATATATATATTCAATTCTCAGGGTTTTGCTTACTTGCCTGGTGGAATATGCATGTCAACAATGGGGCGCCATGTTTCATATGAACAAGCCATTGCCTGGAAAGTCCTTGCGGCAGATGAAAATACTGTCCATTGCCTTGCTTTCACTTTTGTCAATTGGTCTTTCGTGTAAATGCGAGTACCAGCTAATGAAACCGTCCTCTTTCGCTATAAGATTGCATTAGAGCCTCGACAGAAAAGGTTGTTGATCCAGGAAAGAGGAAGCTGAAAAGTTTTGTAATATTCAATTCCCACCCCGTCTGTATTGATTTATTTATAATTGTAACGTATTTCTGCTCTTTAAGATTTCTATTTTATCTTCAATAGAGAATTGCTTCCCTCGTTAGATCCGAGTTCAAAACAGCTTGACTAGAAAATTTTGTGGGATAAGGATAACCCTCCTGGTGTATGTGCTACAGCTTGTACCTAAAAACCACCTAACCAACAAACGGTCAACACAAGCCCCAGGTTAAAGCACCTTAACTACTGTCTCGGCCCCAACTCCCTGCTTCCGTGAAGGCAGTCAAGCTCAAGAAAAGGGGGATCACAAATGTTGACATTCCTGGGAACTTTGCTGTGAGAAAAATATGTACACAACCCAATACGGGACTGTATGCCCTGCAGGCGCCTGCAATGCCAGCCAGACTAAAAAGCTCATCTTGATCGTTTAGGTCCAATTGGAAAAGATTGCAGGCTGAAGAGTGGCTGGCGAAGCATCTATCCTCTGTTGTTGGGAAGAGGATCAGCAGTCTCTCCATCTGTTTCTTCAACTGCTTGCTTGGTTTGGTTTCTTTTCTTGCAATAGCAAACTGGTAGTTGGGGCTAATTAGGGTGGTCCTGTTCAGGAGGGAGTGGAATTCCAGGCCCGGCAATTGATTTTGGTAAAGTTCAGGTTGTTTATGTTCGTAGCTAATTCTAGTAGGACCTGAAAGTAACCAAATATAAGAACGTTATCTGAGTACACAAGAAGGATACATGGCAGGCGAAAAAAAGACAAAATTTACATACCCATTGCCATAAAATCTTGAAAAATTCAGCAATCAATTAAAAAAATCCTCAAAGTGGGGAAGACTGAAAATGAATAAAGAACTAGTGCTGATGAAAGTGAGTCTTTCCTCTTTTTCTTTTTTTCTTTTTTTGTCGAAACGATAGGATTGATGAAAGTGAGTCTTTCTTGCTGTTGATGAAATTGAGCAGAGTTGGCAGTTTAACTTAATAGATAGATATACCTGATGACCTGGAGGAGGGTGCGAGAAGCTGAAATTGACACTGTATGGCAAGCTTGACATCGTCGGAATCGATCACAGATTTGCCGGCGTGGTCCGAGTAAATCTGCCCATTCCTAAGTACATACACCACGTACCTGTTGTAACAAACTTGCAAGAATTGGTGGATGACACCCCCGTAGTCTTCCACAGCCATTGATTTTAGCGGCGATTTCACGATCTATGCATCTCTCGGCAAGTCCTCTTCTCCTCGTCCCTCTCCCATTTTCAGCAATCAATCAAACTACAATTGAAGTTTATGATCAAAAGCCAAATCACACCGTAATCCATAGTAATGGTAAGGATGCCAAGTGGCGAAGTTTATGTACGAAGTAGGCTCAGTGTTCCAATCTTTTATACTATTAATCTGTATGCCGAATGTCAGGGATGACGAGGATCTACGGCTTCAATTGAATCTATCAGTAGTCACCAATTTTGAAATTCATCCATTCCTTCTACTTTATCTATTTTTGCTCCTTATAGATAGGGCTGAATTTTTCTTTCTTTCCTTCAACGTTCGAGCTCGACTCAAGCTTAGCTGGACTAACATAAAATTAAAATTTATAGATAAGCTACTCGAGTTTGATTTAAAGTTGATTGGATAAAAACTCATTTGAGTTTAATTCGATAAAATAATCAAATAAACTTGTAAACAGATTTTCAAGTTTGATAAAATAATCAAGCATGCTTGTATTTTGAACACTAAGATGTTCGATTTGATTAATAATAATCAAACTAATTTGAATACTGAGATGTTCAATTTGATGAACCTCATTTATAAATTGTGGTTCCATGTAACAAGGTCGAAATAGTACGTTTTAGACTTTTAGTTCGTCGCGTTTCAACCGCATGCAACAAAATATCCCAGTGAGGCTGGACAACGCAAATCATATCCTTTCATATACTGTGACAAAACTTTGACCAATTTACAGTGTGTATGTACAAATAGTGCTGCATCAATTTTCCATTACACATACGTGTCATCAGAATATTATAACAATCATACAAACAGCACGCCATCAAATGATACCTTATGGTATCATCTTTCCGAGAAATACCAACTTCGCGCTCTTCATCTTGAAGCAAGAGACCAGAAGTTGAGCAAAAATGACGGCAATGCAGCAAACCAACTAAGGAAAGCCATGGCAGTTGCAGTCTCAAACTCTGTGCAATGATTTTGGTCACAACTACCAAGATCATTGCCAATTAGAACAGTGATTCCAGCTGATGCACAGGCTGCAGCAAATGTAAGGGTGGAAGTGACCTGCAGAGAAAGAACCATTCTTAATAAGCCAATGACATGGAGGTGACAAACTTCAACCATAAGAATGGAACTCGAGTGCGTTCATCACACTGGCATCAATCTGACTGTGTAATCAATTCGTTGCATCTGGAGCGTCTACTAATGTCTGTGGACACTAGCAAATGGACCGCCAACAATCTAGATACACCATCATAATCACTATATGCACGTTTGGAGAGAGAGAGAGACGGTAGCAGAAAGTATTAATGGAAAGGGTAAGAGCCCAATGTCAACAACATGAATGGTAGCGGGAAATAGCTTATTGTAGAAGCAGCAGTATCCAAATTAACCCCAAAAGAAAAGGCAAAATGTTACTGTGTTTGATGCATGTTTTAGAGGAGAGTGTCAAATCCAAACTATCTTATGAAATCCTTTGGAGCAACAGTAGCCACAAAAGGTAGAGAGACTCTAGTAGAAATGGAATCAATTTGTCATTATCGAGGAAAGGGATTAAAATAGATAAAGAAGGTACCAACTTGCCCCCTACTAAACATGTTTATCTAAAGAAGAATGAACAAGACAAAGATGCGATACCAGATCAGAAAATTTAAGGTAAATGTAGTCGAACTGAATGAAATTACTGAATTAAAATCCATGCGATATCATGACATACTGAAGAGGTATCAAGTAACAAGTCACAAAATTGCTGCAGATTTTTCCGAATTCTTCAGCAAAAGCCTAGCTGTTTTTCTACTGTTGAAAAGCAAGCAATGACCTAGAATAATTTCTTTACATCTCTACTGTTGAAGAATATTGTCAAACTAACATTGAAAATCTGGCCACATACAGCATTTGATCACCTCCTCCAACCCCCTCCCCCGAAACTGGGCCATCTATTGCTCCATGAATAGATGAACCTTCTCGCTCAGAACAAAAGAAGCATTTTTCTCTAAAGTTCCAATACAACATCTTAGAAGACAGGTGGTTTGACCAAACAAACACAGGGAATGGCCTCTCAACATAACTATTCTAAATGACACAGACATAAGAAAGGTTAAACCAACTGCACAGATTAACAAGCAGCAAACAAGCACATTCCAAAAATTTAGACACAAAATGAAACTATATATCGCTTTCTCAAAATTTCAAATGGGCACGAGCAACCAGATATTGTAACTTACACCATCACCAATAGCAAATAAGCTAACAAGTCGATAGTTTTGCAAGCTGCGTCCAACTAGAAGAGCATAGACATCAACAATTGCCAGTGCAAGGCTCCACAGGCTCTGCAAGCCCGCAGCTGCAACAAGGTAACTGTGGCAAAAGAAAACAGATCAAAGTTAAATACTGACATAACAACCAAACAACCTACACAGTAATCAAGGAAGAGAATGATGAAAAAAAAGCTTGCAAAGTTGAGTTTCAAGAATTCTGCAAGCTTGAAGTCTGCCATAATCTCGTTAAGGTAAAAAAGTATCAACAGCAGTTGCTTCATTTCTAAGGCACCTAGGAAAAACAAACTAACAGATAACGATCACAGTAGATTAAGAAAAGGAAAAATTCCAGCAGGCTACAAGTTCTATGGCATGTTACTCTATTTCTTCGACGTCAAACATTTACTGAACCAATGAAACCAATACATTTCACTTAAAAAAAGTAATTCCTCTCAAAATGCTGAAAGATCAATCTCAGTTTAAATCCACGGAAACACGGTACCACATGCTAGTGAAACGCCAACTTCTTCGATATAAACACATTTTCAATCTAATCAATTCACCTTTAATTAACTGTCACAAGTTCATATTAGCTATATAATTTAATCAACTCAAATCAGTTTGTTGCAAATTAGCAACGACGTCCAAGAATGAGAGTACTATTTAGATCCGGGAAAATGAATTAGCATGATTCTTAATACGCAATCTATCACATCTAGTGCCACCTACTAAATTTTTTCCCTAAAATTCGCAATTACTGAACTGTCAATCAAGCGAGGGAAACAAAAATCAATTCGTAGAAGTCTACTTTGCTAACTAATTTCACTATCTTACGACTAATTTAATACAAGTAAAAGCGAAATTCAACAAAAGATAATTCAGATTAATTACCAGAAGGCGGTGACGGAAGGGAAGTCATTAGTCGCGGCCATGACGCAGAGAGCAACCACAGCGAATAGGAACTGAGCGAAACGCAAGAAAAGGCCGCCGACGGTTCCAGGCATCCCTTGGATGTCCTTCATCCTCACTCCGGCAGCTAGCGGCGCATTCGGATCCTCCGTCTGCGGCGGCGGCGCTTCCACAGGCACTGGATGCACCGTCGCGTGACTCACACTCATCTTTTATCCAACTAATAACTTCTCTCTCTACCTCGAATTCATATCTAAGGTCCGCAGCTAGCTAATGTAAAGTGTCGTCGTTTCTGATCTGAAAGTTCTTATATGGAATAGGATCTAGAGCCGGAATGGTAGATTCCTGAACTGCTTTCAGATGATGATGGTGATACGGATATGTGTTTCAGACGACGACGTTTGCATCTCCAAATATTCCCAGGCGACAGCGATGGAGTTGTTATGGAAGATGGAGAGTCGGGTTAATGAATTCAGTGCCTGTCAACTAAAGCGTAACGACTTCCGCTATGAACAAAATTGAAGTCGTGGATGGTGTAGGGTCACGTTTTCTTCCTGAACAAAATTGAAGTCGTTGATGTCAATGGCTCGTAGTCTACTCGTAGCAAGTGGCATATTTAATTAAGGCCTTGTTTGCAAGCAAGTTTTTTGCTAAATTTATCTGCTACAAGTTTTTTAACAACTTTAACTATAGTAACTTCAAAAAAAATTTCAAAACTTTTAAACTATACACTTCAAAATATTCAAAAATTTACACAATTTAAAAATTTTGTCTACAATATCTACAGTAAGTTACAATAAAGTTTTAGACAAACACCCAAAAAACTCACTTATCAAACGGGGCCTAAGTATTTACTTGTAATCCATTTAGAACAAACATTTTACTTATCAAAAAGTCCATAAGAATTTTGATTTTGGAGGACGCATATGAAGAGGAATGGATAAAACTGTCCATGTGGAAATGACAAATAAATTCGAAGGACAAAAAAAGAAGAGGAAAGACCAAAAGTTGTTCATTATTTTGCATGGGTGGTAGAGTTTCCAAAAATCATGAAGTCCTAAGGTCATGTTTGGATTGCATTTTTTTGGATATTTTTGTAGAAAAAATACTGTAGCAATTTGATATTTTGGTTAGATTATGTGAGATAAAAAGGTGATTGGAAAATGTATTCACAAAAAACGTAGCAGTTTTTCTTTGAAAAATTGCTTTCCAAACAATTTTGCAAAAATGAACATGTTTTAGAATTAATGGCAACGATTAACATGATGGATTGGCATTAAATCCATAATAACAATTTCCTTTTTTAACATTAGATGATCAATAGTAATAATTATCAGGAGATAGGATCAAATATGTATAAAATAATGTACCTTTTTACTCTATTAAAACATGTGTTTCACGCAATTGTTATTTGTTTTGAACTAAATTATACTCGAAGTGAAATTTCACTGAGTAACGAATTCAATTTAATTGGAGGTAGATCTGTATAACCCTTGTATTGAAACGTTTTACTTGAAAAATCATGGGGGTCATTATGTTAAAAGTTCTAACCTACCGACCTTATACAGAAAAAATTGGAATAAACCCCTAACCTTAATTTTCTTTTGTGACTTAGGCTTAGTTTGGGAGTTTAGGATAGAAAAGAAAAGAAGGGAAAGCTTAAGTTATGAGAGAAGAGAAGAGAAGAGAAGAGATTGTTATGTTGTTTGGGAGTTTTGAGAATTAGTGGAATGATTTTGGATATGGAAGTCATTAAATATTTATTCAAGGCATTTTTAAGGATAAAATAGGCATTTTAGAAAAATTAACAAGCTTTCTCCAAACTTTCTCTCCATTTCTTTCCAATTTGGGAGGAAACATTTTTGTCACTATTCATCCTCTCATTTCTTTTCTTTTCTTTCCTACTTAAAACTATCAAACAAAGGAAAATCAGTCTTTCTCTTATTTTCTATCCAAATCATTCACTCCCAAATGAACCCTTAAGCCCGTTTGGAGTTGCAGTACTTTTGGTAAAAAAAAAAAACACTTTTAGGTGTTAAAAGTACTTTAAAGTGTTTAGTGAATATCATCCAATAAAAATTAGGAGTAGAGCATTTGATGTTAAAAATACTTTTATCAAAAGTTCAAATTTGGTGCTCTTAGAATAA